GGGGCACACCATAGTCTTGTTAATAGGTTCAGAAAAGCTGTCTATCTGGAATAAAGTATTAACTAGCTTGCTATTAAAAAAGCATACTGGACACATTCTGCCTCTTGATTTTTAAATGATCAGGCAATAAATATGGAAATATTTAATTTTTATTAGTGGCACAGTATTGCCAAATTTATTCAAGAGTACATTTACCAGCCCTGGCTGGTGTTGCTCAGTTGTAGAGTTTAGGCCCGAACACTGAAGGGTTTCAGGTTTGATTCCCAATCAGGGGCATTTCCTGCAGGTTCATTTCCTGCCCCCGGGAAGCAACCAATCGATGGATGTGTCTTTCTCACATAGATGTTTCTCTCTCTTTTAGTGGAAAAAATGTCCTTAGGTGAGGGTTGACAAACAAAAAAAAAGAATTGTCATGTCAGTTGCCTATTTTTAAATTATTTTGTTTTGTGTTTTTTCCCCCCCCCTCATTTTTTTGTGTGAGAACTGTATATTGGGACTTTGTCATGTATTTTTTCTCATTGTTATTATTATTTTATCGTTTGACATTTTTAGTGATGTATTTTCCCCTACATAATTTTTAACTTGTTGATGTTATCTTCACCTAGATACAAAACTTTTTGTGTGGTTAATTTCTGTCAAGTTTTTCCTTTATGGCTTCTGAGTTTATTATCTTGCTAATTTTTCTTCTAAAGCAGGCTCTTTTATTGTTCTGAATATTATGGTAAAGTCCCTGATAGCAATGATAATTGGTAGAGGTTAATAAGTTGAAGAAAAACATTGGCTTTTATTTTAAATTTTAAGTAAAATACTAATGATCTTTTTAGTCTTTTTTTCTGAACCACAGAAAATTTATCAGATTCCCCTTTATGTTTATAATAGTTCTATGGTAGTCTGCACTTTTTAGAAGGAAAACTTGTTTGTATCTTTTCCTCTGCAGTGGAGAGAGATTTTGGCCTTTTCAGATATTTCAAGTTTCTTCTTTAATGAGATGGTTTGAATTTAAAATGTAATTTAAAAAAAGATGTGCTTTGATCTTTTACGTTGTCTTCACTTAAAAATGAAAATAACAGCCGTGGCTGGGAGGTCAGTTGACTAGAGTGATGTCCCTATAGGCCAAGGCTACGGAGTTTGAATGCCTGGCAGGGCACATCCGAGAAGCAACAAATGAATGCATAAATGAGTGGAACAAGAAATTGATGTTTCTCTCTCTTTCTTATTCTTTCTCTCTTTCTTTCTCTTCCCTCTTCCCCTTCCTCTCTCTCTAAATTCAATAAATAACAAAAAAATGAAAATACCTTATAGAATTCATTATTTCCTATCTGAGAAAAAAGTAGGCTCTTATAAATCTTTTTTTTTCAATGTTCAACACATTACTGGCATGTTGGTGAAAGAACACCTCCCCTTCTTTTACCTAATAAAGAAGAAATTAACCCAAATCCCACCTCCTGGCTTTAATGATAAAATTCAGGAAGAGGTGAATAAGAATCAAAAGCAGGAAAGATTATTTATGCCTGGAGACTTTCGGGAAGTCTTTAAGGTCTAGCTTAATCTTAGTTCTTTTACCGAGCTGGGATTTAAACGGCCTAGTATTTTTATTTATTTATTTATTGCTTAAAGTATTACAAAGGGTATTACATATGTGTCCTTTTTTATTTTTTCCCCCACCCTTGGCAATCCCCTGGACTCCCCTACCCCCCAGGGTCTTATGTCCATTGGTTATGCTTATATGCATGCATACAAGTCCTTCAGTTGATCTCTTACCCTCCTCCCTCCTGCCCCCCCAACCCTCCCTGGCCTTCCCACTGCAGTTTGACAATCTGTTTGAGGCAGCTCTGCCTTTGTATCTATTATTGTTCAAAAGTTTATAATGGTCTCAATTATCCATGAATGAGTGAGATCATGTGGTATTTTTCCTTCATTGACTGGCTTATTTCACTTAGCATAATGCTCTCCAGTTCCATCCATGCCGAAACGGCCTAGTATTTTCTTTATCTATAGATTGTGTAGACTTGATGTTTATAAGCAGTAGTGAAAAAAACCATGGACCCGAGCTTGTATGTCTTCCCCTCGCCATTTCAGCTCTACTATAGACTTGTAGCTCAGGGGTGGGGGATGTCTGGCCCACGGGCCGTATAAGACCCGTGAAATCATTTGGTCCGGCAAAGCGTTAGGGGTGAGCTAATTAAATGTTTGACCAAGTAGCAGATTAGTTTTTAAGTTGATAATTTTGGATGGCCTGCAAATGATGTTACAAATATCCAAATGGCGCTTGGCAGAAAAGTGGTTCCCCACCCCTGTTGTAGCTGCTGGGCGAGGGGAGACAGGGTTAAGACCAGCCGTGGGCAAACTCCGGCCTGTTTGAAATGAATAAAACTAAAAAAAAAAAAAGACCGTACCCTTTTATGTAATGATGTTTACTTTGAATTTACATTAGTTCACACAGAGACTCCATCCATGCTTTTGTTCCGGCCCTCCGGTCCAGTTTAAGAACCCATTGTGGCCCTCTAGTCAAAAAGTTTGCCCACCCCTGGTTTAGACTTCCCAAGCATAGATATTTTCCCTCTCAGTGAAAGAGAACACATGTCCCTCCTTTTAGCCCTGGCACAGGAGCAGCAAGGAGCAGGGCAGGCCTAGGAAGCAGGCGTGGCGTGTTTACAGCTGATGCAAGGAGTTTGAGTCTATAGAGTTGAAAGTGATGGGCAGGGTGTAGGGATCCAGGAGGGAGGGATAAATACGGTGGACTGCAAATTAGAGTGTGGCCAAGAAACATAATTCAGACCTTGAAAAACAAAAACTGGACAACTGGGGATTTCAGCATTGAAAATCATGTTTGTGTTGACCTGTAATCCCATGTTTCTCCTACTTTCAAGTGCACATTTTAACATCTACAAAGTCAGGCTGCCTTTTAAAGTTAATGATGTGCCATAATTTAATGGGCCACATCTTTTTCTTGGTGGTACAGATGGAACTGTGTCATCCCATCCAGGGAGCCTCAGATCTGATGAAGTGGAATATCTTTTCCTATGGAGCTGCTGGCTTATATAAAAGTTTGTGATCACAGTTCTCAACTGTTCACACGAAGGAGTTGAGTTCTTTATGGCAAAATGCTTTTGGATGGCTGGGTCCATGTTTCTTATTTCACCTCCAGCTTAATGACATTTCAGAGCCTGAACAGTGGAGCGAATGAGCTGCGGCTCAGGCTCCCATCAAAGTGCCTTTCACCGGCACAGGGAAGGGCCCGCGTGGAGGGCCGGAGCGGGGTAATTGATGGCGCCCGCCTACCTTTCTGTCAGGATTGTTCAGAGCTTTGAAAATCTGGTCGTTTCTGTGTAGCGTCAGGATCCCAAAGCATAATTCAAATCATCGGCAGCTTTTTTAGTGTAAGTGCTTGAAAACCCATTTCCTGCTGCTGCTTCTGCCACAGCCGTTACCATTCTCCAGGGAGCCCTGGCTGTTGCCTTTGGAATGGGAACTCCACAGTGGTACCACTTCATAGGCTCCACGTCTGTTTTTCTGGAGTATTTTTTCCCCTGGAACCTGATTTTATCAGGTTTAAGAACAGGACATTAACCACTTACAGTTTAGTTGTGTGCAGTATGGAGTCCACCAGATTGAAAATGATTTTTGGGTTCCAATGATTTCCTTAGGATTTAATGGCTCACTTTTTAAAAAATATATTTTATTGATTCTTTACAGAGAGGAAGGGAGAGGGACAGAGTTAGAAACATCGATCAGCTGCCTCCTGCATACCCCACACCGGGGATGTGCCCGCAACCAAGGTACATGCCCTTGACTGGAATCGAACCTGGGACCTTTCAGTCCGCAGGCCGACGCTCTATCCACTGAGCCAAACCGGTCAGGGCAATGGCTCACTTTTTGTAAAGCATGAACTTGGGTTTGTGGCATTCAAAGGAGGAATTTTTTTGCTGAGGGTACTACCTGTGCCACACCGAATACGTCTAATTAGAAAATCGGAGAATGTTCTTAAGATTTTTATGTTTAGGGACATTTCTAATTTATGATTATTTTATTTTTGTGTGTGTGAACAAATGTCTTTTTTTTTTTAAAAAAAAATCTTCATTGTTGAAAGTATTGCACATGTCCTCTTTCATCCCCATTGACCCCTTTGAGCCTGCACCCACCCCTCTGCCCCAGGCCTTCACCACACTATTCTCTGTGTCTATGGGTTATGAAGTCTTATTGTTTTAAGTTATATTTTTCAAAACACTGGGAAGGTCTAGTCATCAGTTTATTACATTTTTGCATTTTTTCCCTGCGAATTGCTATCATACCGCTATTTTCTGTGAATCACACTTGATTTGTAAGAACTCCCTTTATATTTGGAATACTAACCATTTGTCATGCATGAGTCTTCTTTGTGTGCGGCATCTTCTGTATAGTTCGATCTGGTGAGAGTTTTGGGACATTTAGAAACCAGACATCTTTCTCGTCCTGCAGGAGGACCATGTCACTAGACTTTGGCAGTGTGGCACTGCAGACACAAAACGAAGATGAAGAGTACGACAACGAAGATTATGAAAGGGAGAAAGAGGTGAGTTGCTCAGAAAAAAAGACTCCAAACCCACTCTTGAACAATTTTATTTCCTCATCAAAATTATGTCCTTTTGTGTCATTTTGGAGGAGTTTATAATCCCCCATGAAACTTGATCAGTACTTGGACTTCTAAGAGGTAGATGAGTGGAATGCTTCCTTTTTTGAGATGAAAATAGAACATAACCTTCAATGATGCCACTAGAGATAATGGCTAGATTCTCTACGCTGTTTCATTTAGGACAGCGGTTCTCAACCTGTGGGTCGCGACCCCTTTGGGGGGTCAAACGACCCTTTCACAGGGGTCGCCTAAGACCATTGGAAAAGACATATAATTACATATTGTTTTTGTGATTAATCACTGTGCTTTTATTATGTTCAATTTGTAACAATGAAAATACATCCTTGCACAACATGAGGCACTGTATTAAAGGGTCACAGCATTAGGAAGGTTAAGAACCACTGCTTCTGAGGGATAAAATGAGACACCATTTATATTTGGAATACTAACCATTTGTCACCCATGAGTCTTCTTTGTGTGCGGCATCTTCTGTATAGTTCGGTCTGGCGAGAGTTTTGGGACATTTAGAAACCAAACATCTTTCTTGTCCTGCAGGAGGACCATGTCACTAGACTTTGGCAGTGTGGCACTGCAGACACAAAACGAAGATGAAGAGAGTACGACAGAAGATTATGAAAGGGAGAAAGAGGTGAGTTGCTCAGAAAAAAAGACTCCAAACCCACTCTTGAACAATTTTATTTCCTCATCAAAATTATGTCCTTTTGTGTCATTTTGGAGGAGTTTATAATCCCCCATGAAACTTGATCAGTACTTGGACTTCTAAGAGATAGATGAGTGGAATGCTTCCTTTTTTGAGACCGAGAATAGAACACAACCTTGAATGATGCCACTAGATAATGGCTAGATTCTCTGCACTGTTTCATTTAGGACAGAGGTTCTCAACCTGTGGGTCGCGACCCCTTTGGGGGTCGAACGACCCTTTCACAGGGGTCGCCTACGACCATTGGAAAACACATATATAATTACGTATTGTTTTTGTGATTAATCACTGTGCTTTAATTATGTTCAATTTGTAACAATGAAATTGGGGGTCACCACAACATGAAGAACTGTATTAAAGGGTCGCGTATTAGGAAGGTTGAGAACCACTGATTTAGGAGGTAGTGGCTGGTTTTGGAAGCAGAGGCCTAGAATCTAGCTGCTTGGAACATTGCGTTGAACAAGTGTGGCAAGGTTCTTAGCTTACTTCTTAGTGGAGGCAGACCATATACAGTGGGACCTTGACTTACGAGTGTCCCGACTAACGAGTTTTTTGAGATACCAGCTGTCTCTCGGCAGATTTTTTGCTTTGAGTCGACAGAGTAATTTGAGTTAATGAGCTCCTTA